ATCGTTATGGGATTTATAATAATCGACGCGCCCCTGTGATAGAGTCAAGCATCGGTAATCGATCGAATCCTGCGACGATAAAACGGAGTCGATATAATCGCAGATCGGGGGAGAGTACCTTCTTCTTCTTCTTCTACTTTCTTCTTCTCTTCTTCATACGATGAACGCTGACGAGTGCTGTGATATATAAATAAACATTTTAATTAATCGCAAACATAAATATCGTAATATTATAGGAGCTATTCTTTTTTTACACGAAGACTGAATCTCGCCAATTTATATATGAGTTTAGTAAAACCCTTCTCCCCCTCCCCCTTCCCCCCATACCCATCTAAACACGTGTCGGTCGATGACAAAGAGTCGCTTGCGATACTCTTTTCTTTGGCAGGCGCAAAAATTGCGAGATATCGCTCTCGATCGAAAGTGAAGACAATTGCAATCTTTTTTTGTTATCGATTGTATTTGTATACCGTATAAGAGACGATACCGTTAATTCTTTTAATGTTTGGTGTGATTTCATCTTGTTCCGAATGTGGCCATGTAACCGTATATTGTTACTACTGCTTTTGATCGTTCATATTTTCCACTTTATTTAAAGAGATGTTCGCGATTTTTCAAACACTTTATATAATGGATCCTATGGTCTCCGTGATTACGGTTTCGGGTTTTTTCTCTTTTCTCTCGAAACTATCGTTATGTGCTCCCTTCGGGAATTCTTCTTTCGTAGAACCCCGACTTGCGTTCTAAGGGTGTCCTTATAAAGAAATTAACAAGATAAATTAATGATGCGTTAATTTTCTAGATCTAAATATTTCATTAAAAATATGTTTCTATTTTTCTTAAAAGTGCGTTAAATATTCGTTAACAGGAATATTAAATCCGAGATATGGTCAACAATTTTACGCGAACAGTGACGGATTAAAACGTATTAAATTCAACTCATTATATCAAATGTCGGTATAATAAAAATCGTTTATAATAAATAAAAAAAAAAAATCCGTTCAAGTTCTTAAGATACGAAAGGGAATATGAAACAAATTTTTCTCTTCATGTATAAACATGTTAAGATTATGTCCGTCTAATAACAGTTTAAAAATTTTTAAGAGGCTACCGAATACAAATAAACGCACACATAACGTTTTTAATTTAATATGCTCTTTAAAACGTACTCATTAAATATACTTTTAGTTTAACAAGGATAATGTTTTTTTAACCAAAACATAGAATCGCTTAAAAGTTATTAGAGCACTTATAATACTCGGCGAGATCAACCATTTCGATCGATCGATCCGTCATTGTAAACTTAAAACCTAATGAAAGAGCGATCAAAATCTTCAGCCGAGTTAGTCCGTTCAAGTTCTTAAGATACGAAAGGGAATATGAAACAAATTTTTCTCTTCATGTATAAACATGTTAAGATTATGTCCGTCTAATAACAGTTTAAAAATTTTTAAGAGGCTACCGAATACAAATAAACGCACACATAACGTTTTTAATTTAATATGCTCTTTAAAACGTACTCATTAAATATACTTTTAGTTTAACAAGGATAATGTTTTTTTAACCAAAACATAGAATCGCTTAAAAGTTATTAGAGCACTTATAATACTCGGCGAGATCAACCATTTCGATCGATCGATCCGTCATTGTAAACTTAAAACCTAATGAAAGAGCGATCAAAATCTTCAGCCGAGTTAGATTCAGAGGCTGATTTTTGTTATATATTCATAATTTTCTCGTTTGAACTCGCAATAAAATGTTCTATAGTATAACTAGTATGTGCGCAATTATTAATAAAACGCAGAAAAACATCACCGACTAAAGAAATTGAGCCACTAAGATTAATCGAACCGCCTCGAGATAAGCAAGATGGCGAAAAGTATGTGCCGAAGATGTAACCTGTTGCTCTCAAAAAAAAAAACAAAGTATCGCGATTAATTATCCTCTCTTTACTAACATACTCGTACGGAACAGGTGTTGCAAGACCTGTCTCGCGCTTCATTTTTTGTGGTCCTTCGACGGGTGAATCCTTCAACAACAGTATGGTATAGCGCGTCATATATTGATCAGATCGCGTTTGGCGGCACGTTTTTAGCGCTAAACATGATCGTCCGATCCTTCAATCGAATTATGTACAATCATCCTCAGCACGTGCGGATTTGTTCGATTCGATATTCGAACGAAAAAATTGCATGTTTAGCGCTAAGCGTGCGCCGAGAATGCGATGCGTTTTGTCCTAATTCGAATGTACGATGAACAATGAATTCAACACGGAAAATGTGATCCGTAGCGACATTTTTTTTTTTTTTTTCTTATTTTACTTCCAAAATTCTCCGTTGAGACTCGTACGCCTGTATGTATGTGTGCTCGTGTGTATGAGTGTATTATCCTCGACTGGGGAATCGAGGTTGCTAAATTATATAAATTTATATCATTAAATCTAACTTGCGAAATGAAAGAAAAAATATTGTATGCGAAAAGAGGGAACCTTGCGAGTTCCAATATCGCCTTTGTTTGATGCGAACAAAACGTCAAGTTAACGCGGCATCGTCGTTACGCATGTCACGTGCCTGCGAATGTCACGCGTGACACGTTATGAATAATAATGTGGCGAAAGTTGCGCGCTTGATTTGCGAGAAAAACACCGAGAAAAATTACATTACTTCATCCTTTTAATATTTTAAGCTCCAAATGTAATGTCACGTCGCATTTTAGCGAATTACGAAACTGAGTAGTAGTATCTTTTAGAATAGCATCTATACAAATCACACTCTTCGAAATGGAACTAGAACAATACGATGTCGCTGAACTTTTCATCTCTGAATTATTCATGAAATATTAAGGACAAACATAATCTTATCCAAAAATATGTGCGATCAAGATTTTTGTAATTGACTTATTTAATTTATTTAGAAGAGAGCGTGTGTGGTGTGTGAGTGTGGTTATGACAGTGGTAAAGAAAGAGCTCTTAAATCATTGCATATAAATAATATGCATATATTTATGTGTGAATATAGATCGTATTTATATAATTTTCAAAAAGCCACTCCTTGGTCGTAAAAATGTCTCTGCCGTTATATATTAATAAATTTTGTTAGAGTTTCGAAAGATCATTCACCAAGTATGACGTCAAAGAATTTAGAAGTTTAAGATCTCGCGATATATACAAACGTCCAATACTTTACTTCGATATTTTAGTCTTGCTACAATTTTTTTTTTTTTCATTTTCGATGCGTACGAGATTTATCATAGTTATCACAATTTCACCCACTTTCTCTTTAATTTTCTGCGCAAATGTATGCAAAAATATTTTTGCATTCTCAAATCGCTGGCTTCTTGGATATTCGAATCGGATCTTGAGAAAAAAATCTAGATCGTCTATTTCGTAATTGGGAGGGGTCTCTCAAGGAAAATCTGCCGTTTTATGGCGAACGAGTTCGGGAGTCAGCGACACAGTGTTGGCCACAAGATAATGTAATTTATAATGTTTTTCGTGAGAAACAGCAATCGGAAAAAAAAAATGTGCCTGTAAAGAAATGAATAAATTCGTCGAAATAGCGAAATTCTAGTCTTTAAACTTAAAATTATGTGTGCGTGTGTGTGATTTGGAGTTTATAGAAATTGAATCTCTAATCAAAGAGCTGTTCTTAAGAAGATTGGGGACTTGATTGAATGAAACAAATTTTCCAGCGCAATTCTTATAAAAAAACATTATGAATTATTAGCAATGTGTGTTGCCAATTATAGGTCCGCTCCTATCTTGGAGCGATCCTGCTCTTTGCTTGATACAATCAAATTTGCTACAAGGGTGATATTGCAATACACAAACGAGGAGTCATTAATTACACCACGTGAATCGCGTGACGATTCCATTCCGCGGGGATAAATTTTTACGTTTCGATAACACTTGTCGTGATGTATAAAGGGGAAAAAAAGCGTAAAAGTAAAAAATAGAAAAAAAAAAAAAAGAAAAGAATGAGCGGAGGCATAGAAGTGGCGAAATTTCCTGATCGCGAGCGATTTGAACTCCAGTGTGTAATTATTTGATTAATTCTCACGGCCAAAGAGAGGTAACACATGAAAAAAAAAAAAAAAAAAAAAAAAAAAGAAAAGTGGCTCGTTTATTTTTCCACCATGACATATATTTCAGAGCGGCAAGTATGGTAATAGCGGTATACAATAGCGTGTATGTATGTGTTTAAATGCGTGAATATTCGAGAAGCAAGCAGTGAATGAATTTGTCGTACGAATCGCTTATATCGATCGAAAAAAAAGAAAATAACGATTAATGGAAATATGTTTGCGTTTGTTGCTAAGCGAGAGAGAGAGAGAGAGAGAAAAGTATACATTTGTTGCATTGTGTATTTACGGATGCAAAGGCAAAGAATAGCGCGAAGCGATGTTAAGAGAGTATCAGGCTCTATATTCAGATTCTCTTCTGTAGGTTTCATTAAAGTGCATTTCTTGTATGTTATTACAGTATTACAGTAGAACATAAGAAAAATAAACGAATGCAATAGTAAAATGCATTTGTCTCTGTTTTATTTGTATGCTCTCGCGAAAGCAGAAATATATATATAATTCACTTTTCAATCGCGCGTTCATTCTTTTTTATGTATTTTACATGAAATAAAAGTGCAATAGAGAGACAAGAAATATATCAACGAGAAATACATAATCCCTAAATAAGTGATTGTCAGATAGAACAAGGACCCAGTTCAGCTTCGAGACAAACGACTCATTTAATTTACATAAAATTAAAAAAAAAAAAAAATGAATCTGACTACGCCATGTTGTTGACACAAGGTATCGTCTGAAGCCTGATTGGTTACACGATGCGCTCGCTAGTGACAATATGGCGTACTAGATATAGTTCTATCCATAGACTAAGTAAAAGAGTAGACTACTAAACTTGATACACAAAGCGTCTCGCGAATAAAGATCTGTTTTCTCTCCTTTTTCTCTTTCCTTGAACTTCACCAGCAAAATATTATGGCGCTCTGTTTATTACTATATTTATGATCGCTCCACTATCAGTTCGTTATTGGCTATCTTATCGCTTGAAATTTCGCCGGTCATAAATATATATTAGCCATCGCACATAGCATGTCAGCGATTTTCCTGCAGTTTTGATCAGGCGTGATTCAGCAGTTCAATTTTTTATTTCTTGCATAATCCGAGCTATCACGCAGTCTATCGCGGACCATCCATCCATTAAGTGGTCTTGAACGATCAAGAATATTCGCAAAATGACGATTAAGGCGGTCTGTGTCCTTGAGGGGCGTCATAACGACAAGCCTATTAAGGGAATTGTTCACTTCGAACAAGCGGTAAACTTTATCAATAAACGAGCTTAAATTTTCGAATCAATCTCGCTACGTTTTTCCGATAAATTATTTCGCATTTATTACGTCGCGAATTTAAGATTTTTGTCTTTGAGACGCATCATACAATAGTACTTTGTATTTAATATATCTTAAATTTTTTTATATATAAATTGCGTCTGAATTATATCAAACAGTTTATATATTCTCTGATTTGTGATCTTTGAAAACGTATGATTGATCTCTATGAAAGCTTGATTTCATATAATGTTTAATTGTTATAATCTTCAATTTTTATATATATTAAAAAATAATCTTTCTCTGATTATTTTTTTTCTTTTCTAATGTATAGTAAATTTGATTTGCATTGCAGGGTGGTTCAAGTTCAGTAAAAGTGACTGGAGATATTACTGGATTAGAGAAAGGCTTACACGGCTTTCATGTTCATGAATTTGGCGATAGCACTAATGGTAAAGACTGAAACACAAGAATATTTAAATATATTATTTAAATAACTGTCTTGCAGAATTAAAGAATACAAGTTTATAAACTTATAATTCCTAGAAAAAATTATTGATTTATAGTTTTAATTTATTGTAACATTCTTAACTCTTAACTCTAAAATCCAATCTTGTTAGTTTTAAAATTTTGTTATTTTACTCCAAATATCACTTTTTACATAAGAATTTTCTTTTTCTTTTTACAAAAATTGATATTTCTTTAGTTTTTGTATTGTGTAATATTTTGCAAAATATACAATTTTATATAATTTAATGTATACTTTCTGCTTTATAAATTTACAAGAACATGTGAAATACAAGATAAGAGAAAAATAATTGAGGATGATGAAAGTATTGACTCTGATTTTTATCTTTATTCTCAATAAATTATGTATATTTTGTTTTTAATAAAAGTATAAGTATAGAATGTATATAGAATGTATATATATATATACATATATCAAATATAATAAATACGTGCAATGGTATGCATAGATAAAATAAACTGTTATATAATGTTACGTAAAAAAACTGAAGTGCAAGGGGTTGTTTTGTGTTTGAATTTATATAATTTTTTATAAAAGTTTATTTTTGAATTGTGGAACTTATCATTTTAATCTAGTTATTTTTATCTTTTGTGAAGTTAATAATAAATCAATTTTTAAAAAATTATGTGATATCTGTTTACTCATTGATAGAGACTATATATACAATATCTAATATACAGCATTACTGTAACTTATTTATAATTGTTTCATGAATTGTTCCTGAACTCAAATTAACTTTCTTCTATTCCATTGGTTACAACATTAATTTTTAATATGATATATTGTTTAGTCAATATTAAATTAACATTTTGTTAGATTGTGCTTCATGCTGAATGTAGAATGTAATTATCATAGTCTTGAAGCTTAATTTAGTAATATGTTTTTCAATGATTTATTTAAATTATAATTATTATTATATATT